GGTGGGGGCGGGCGACTGTCTCCCCACCCTCCTTACAGGTGCTGATGGCCCCATCACCCCTTGCAGCTGGGATCGAAAAAATAATCCTGAACCCTGGAATAAGCTGAGCCCCACGGACCAGTATAAAGTGAGCACTGGGTGAACTGGGGGGCAGGGGGTGGCCATGTTTGGGCACGACCTCGTGTTTTTCTCAGGGAAGGGCGAGAGGCGGCATCATCCCTGGGGCAGAGGCACATGAGGCCTCCAGCTGCTTGTGCTCAGATTTGGGGAGGGGAGTGCTGTCCCCCCCATCCCACAGCCAAGGCCAGGCTGCAGTGACAGCCATGGAGGACACAACAGCCTCTCACGTCCCTTCATTCTCCAGTTTCTGGCAGTTTCCACTGACTACAAGAACCTCAAGAAGGACCGTCCCAGTTTCTGAGCTGACCCCGGTGTGTGCTGTGCCTACTGCCTGACAGCACCACCACAGCCCCCACCGGCCCTCCTGGCTCCTGCCTGCTCCACAGCTCAGCGCGCACGCAGCTCTGGCTGCTTTTCCAGCACCCCCAAAACGTGGGGCTGCACCCCGCACGATAAACCACGTCACTCCAGTAGCAACATGACCACCGTCGCCAGTGCCCCTGCCTGGCATGCTGCTCTTGCATCACGTCTTGCCTGCATTAAGCTCGTAGGACAGTAATAAAGTACTGGGGGTGGAGGGCAGCAAAATGGACTGCATCTGCTGTTTCCCAGGCCTGTAAACGTAGGAGACAGGCAACACCCCCCCGTGAAAGCTGGGGTGGGGTCTCTTGTCATGCTGGAAGCAGCGTTTCCGCTCTCCCACGCTCCAGGACCCTGGGGGCTGCCAAGGGACCACCCCAGTCCCAACCCAGCCCTGCCGGAGAGGAAAAGAGCTGGGTGGAGTGAGGGGGGGGTGGGGTGTCTCACACACACATGCACATGGATGCATGTTCGTGTCCTGCACACCGCACAGCCCCTGCACCCCCCGGGTTACATGTGCGGGGCAGAGCCCTGGCCTTTGCCAGAGGCAGGGCAGTCCCGCCTGGCGCTGTTTGGCTTGGCCGAGGTGTCCGGGGGAACTCGTAGCCAGTAAATGTGGTGGAAGTGACCCAGGAGAGCAGGACGTGCTGGGAAACAGGCAGCTGCCTGGTCTGCCAGGGGTTGGGCTGCTTCTAGCCAGGCAGGGCCGCGGGGAGCAAGGGGCTGCACCAGCAACTCTGTGCCCCACAGCAGGGAGGGCAGCCTGAGCCACGGCCCCCCACCATACCTGTCTTGCTCCAGGGCTCAGTGCAACTCCCCGATCTCCCGACCTCGGATCCCGCTGGGTGAAGCACCAGGTGTGTGGGGACACTGAGGCACGACCGTGGGCAGCAAGACCTGGGGGTCCACGTCCCACATCTACCCACAGGGCCCTGGCACAGTGCCAAGGGGCCCCAGGGACACTGTCCCCCACAACGCCTTGTCACCGACCTCTCCCTCCCCAGCTCAGCACCCACACACCTCCACGTTGGCAGGCTCTGCCCCCACTTTTATTAGCAACCCCCCCCTGTAGAAAAGTGCAAGACTTGCTTGGACAGAAGGGTCAAGGCTGGAGCAAGGACTGTCAGGGTCTGGGGGGGGGGTCTCTGTTGAGAGCAGGACAGGGGTGGGCTTCCCCCCCACCCTGGGGAGAGAACACCAAATCCCAAAGGTGCTGGAGGGGAACAAAGGGAACTGGGGACAGCAGGGGGTGGTTGTAAGCCTCCCCTTGCCTCCCAGGTAGCCGCAGCCTGGCAGAGGTGGGGTGATAGCCCCCCACTCAGTGGTCACTGAAGCCAGGCATGGGGAAGGCACGAGCGAAGGTCTCCACGCGCTGGCGCAGGTCAGCCAAGCGTCGCTGCGTCTCCGCATCCTTCAGCAAGAATGTCTTGAAGTCCTGCAGCTTGCCTGGGTTGGAGGGGGGGGCCAGTGAGAAGGGCAGGGGGGACATGACAGCAGCCCCGGCCCTGCCCAGGCACAGTCCCTGCGCCCCAAACGGAGCGATGGCAACTGGCACCCAGGAAGGGGAAGACAGGGCGGCCTCGCTCACTCACTGGTTTTGCTCTTGACGTCCAGGGCCAGCGTGATGCCCTCGTCGATGAAAGCCACGACCTTCTGGAAATCCTGCTCGCGGAAGTGGCGGGAGGTCAGTGCAGGGACACCTAGGGGACGGAGCCCGTCAGGGCTGGGAGCTGCTCGGGGGCACCATCCGCAGAGACCAATCCCACCAAGGAGCTCCCCAAGTCCCAGCCCCCATGGGATCCTGTGTCCCTCTCTGAGCCAGAAACTGGCTCCAAATTCCCATGTGGAGTCTTCAGAGACGGGTGAAACAGAGTGGGGATGCCCCGGGTGCAAGCCTGGTGACCACCCCCCCCAGGGAAGGGGCTGGACGGAGGCAGGAAGACTCCCCCCGAGCAGGGCCCGTCCCTCACCCAGGCGCAGCCCCCCTGGCGTGAGTGCGCTCTTGTCTCCTGGGCACGTGTTCTTGTTGGCAGTGATGGAGACGAGCTCCAGCACCCGCTCAGCCCGTGCACCGTCGATGCCCTTGGGCCGCAGGTCCACCAGTACCAGGTGGTTGTCGGTGCCACCTGGGGAGCACGGGAAAGGGGTGAGAAGCGACAGCCAGCCCTGAGCAACCCCAGCCACCCCCTCTCCTCACCGCCACATCCCAGCCCCTTTCCCCACTCTGCAGCACTGCCCCCATTCCATCCCCAAGCCCTCTTCTGCCTTGCACCCCCTTCCTCTGTGCCCCAACCCATGCACACTCCCCACTGCTGCCCTAGGTGCTCCCCACAGGGCCCCTAGGCACTGAGACCGAGCGGTGCCACTTGTGACCTACCACAGCCTTGTCCCTCCCCGTCCCCAAAAGCACAGGGAAGGAGGCATTACCTGACACCAGGGTGTACCCACGCTGGAGCAGGGCCTGTGCCATGGCTTTGGCGTTCTTCAGCACCTGCTGGCAGTACTGGCGGAAAGCTGGAGAGCTGGCCTGGGAGGGGAGGCCACATCAGCGCAGGGCCCGGGTCACCCCCAGCCCTGAGCCCACCACCCTTGCACAGACCTGTTTGAGGGCCACAGCCACGGCAGCGATGGCGTGGTTGTGGGGCCCCCCCTGCAGAGAGGGGAAGACAGCAAAGTTGATCCTGTCCTCCAGGTCGTAGAGCGTCTCCTTGCCCGTCTTCTTATCTACCGAGCGCACGCCCTTGCGGTAGAAGATCAGCCCTGACCTGGCAGTGAGACAATGGGTACCACCCCTCTTGCCATTGCCCCACAGCAGGGCTCGGCCCCCCTGCACCACAGGGCAGCACAGACACCCCTACCACCCTCCCAGGGGTCGCTCCTGCTCAGCCCTGGCCCCCAGCCAGAGCATGAAATGCAACCTCTGCTCCGCACTCCCGTGCCGTGGGGGGGATGCTCCCAGGGGCAGGGTGGGCAGCAGGACACAGCCTCACCTGGCACCGCGCAGGGTCTTGTGCGTGGTGCTGGTGACCAGGTCTGCGTGCTCAAAAGGTGAAGGGATGGCTTTGGCTGCCACCAGCCCGCTGATGTGCGCCATGTCCGCCAGCAGGTACGCCTTCACCTCTTCACACACCTGGGGACACAGGAATTCACGAGCTGTCCCTGTCCCCATGGCCACGAGCGGGGTGTGACTGCTTCTGAGCTGCCACAGGTGCGACAGCTCCCATCACTCGGGATGGAGCCCACCACCCTGTACCTTCTTCATGCGAGCGTAGTCGATGAGGCGGGCATACGCGCTGGTGCCGGCGATGATGAGACGAGGACGGAAGAGCCGCGCCGTCACCTCCAGCTGGTCGTAGTCAATCAGCCCTGTGGCTGGCTGTGAGGGATGGACAGACAGATAGCTTGCCAAGGCACATGCACCTCCCTGCCCCCAGTCCTGACCACAGCACATTTGGCTCCCGAGCACCCCATGGAACCAGGACATAGTTGGGACACAGGGAAGGTAAGGCAGGAGATGGCAGAGCAGCTCAGGCACCTCAGGGGCACCGCCAGGATGAACAGCTCGGCCAGCAGATTCCCCCTTCCCCCAGGGACCTGCCCCCCTCAGCTCACGTCAAGTTTGTAGGGCATCGACTCGAAGAAGATGGATGTTGCTGAGATTCTCTTGATGTCCGACATGTACCCGTGCGTGAGGCTGCAGGGGAAGGCAGAGGCACAGGATAAGGCTGGGCCCCCCAGGAGGCAGCAGGACCAAGGCTCCCCCACCCCACTACGTACTGGCCCCCATCAGGCAAGTCCAGCCCCATCAGGCGGTCGTGGGGCTGCAGCAGGGCTGTGTAGGCTGCGAAATTGGCTGGAGACCCCGAGTAGGGCTGAACGTTGACACCCCAGCAGGCAGGATCCAAGTTGAATGCCTCCAGAGCCCGCTGCTCGCACAGCAGCTCGATCTGGTCCACCACCTCAGCTCCCCCATAGTACCTGGAGGAGATAGGAGGTGGTTATGGGGGCCGTTCCCTCTGCCAGCCCCACAGGAGAGCTTGGTGGAGAGGACAGCCTCCCCTTGGAAGCATCCGCTCCTGCCCCGGGGCTCCCCTCAAGCTGAAGCTGAATCCTGCAGCTGAATCCTGGCTGCGAGAGGACCCTTGATGCCACTGGTGCCTTCCCACTCCCCAGAGCCTGCATGCCCCCTCCCTTTACCTCTTGCCGGGGTACCCTTCCGAGTACTTGTTGTTGAGGCAGGAGCCCAGGGCTTCCAGTGCTGCCCGGCTGCAGAAATTCTGGAGGAAAAAGGGGGTCAGAGATGCGGCAGCAGAGCTCCCACCTGAGCGTGGGTCCTCCAGGACCATCATCACCCACTGCCCCAAGCACCCTGCACCCCACCTCAGAGGCAATGAGCTCCAGCCCCCGGCACTGCCGATCCTTCTCCTTCTGGACCAGGGTCCACATCTCAGGGTCGCTCTCGGCCAGACTCTCCTGCCCTGTCCAGTCGGGCATGTGCCCGGTGGCGGCC